GAGGCCCCATTCACTTTTTGATGGATCTCTTTATGGCTTTCCATAACTCTGCACCAACTTACATTCCCACCAACAGTATACAAGGATTCTCTTTCTCCACATCCTCTCCAACACTTATGGTTTCTTATCATTTTGACAATATTTATTCTCACAGGCATGAGGCAGTATCTCATTATTGTTTTGATTTACCTTTCCCTAGTAAGAGATGATGAAAATCTTTCCTGCTAGGCATCTGTATGTCTCTGGAGAAGTGTCTATTCAGATCCTCTTACCATTTTTTAATTGGCCTGTGTTTCTTTTTTCTATTGTTGAGTTTTCTGGGGTTTTTTGTATATTTTGGATATTGACTTGCAAAATCTTCTCCCGATGTAGGTTGCCTTTTCCCTTTCACTATAGTTCTTTCCTACTCACAAAGAAGCTTTTTTTGTTTGATGTAGTCCTGTTTGTTTATAACATGGAGGAATCTTAAAACCAATGTTGAGGGAAAGAAATGAAACAAATTATCAACTTTCTTGTTCTAGTCACTTAAAAACAGATTAAAGTAAACTCTACTTTAAGGATTGTATTAAGTAGAACATTTTTAAAGAAAAGTAAACAAGGGCCTATGAGTAACAGTTACCCATGGTGAGGAGTAAGGAGAGGGAGCTGTGGTGAGAAAACCTCTTTTTGCTGGGGGTGGGGAGGGTCCCTTTGTGCTGGGAGCAGTTCATGTCTTGACCCAGGGGGGTGGTAGTTATTTCTGGTCAGTTCATTAAGCTGAACATTTGCAGTCTATGTACCTTTTTTATGTTATATAGTTCCATGTGGTATTTCATAAACCATTTCTTTATACTTTTCAAGAACTGATTATTCCACTCTTTTGCAAATACCTAAAGAGGATAGGAAAATGTAGACTACTCCCCTCCTTGTTCTATGAGGCCAGGGTAACCTGGATTGCAAAACTAGAAAGACAGAACAAGGAAGGAAAGTGGAGGCTGACCTCATGTAGGAAAATGAAGGCAAAATTACCAGCAAACTGAAGCTACCTGTGAATTTAAAAAAAAAAAAAAAAAGCAGTACATTCTGACCCTATTGCTTTGTTCCAGAAACTAAGGGTAATCTAATATTAAAATCTATACATGAAACACTGTATTAATAAATAAAAAGGGAAGTCCTCCCAGGTGGCCTAGCGGTTAAGTCTCAGCACTGTCACCAGTATGGCCTGAGTGCTGTCCCCAGCCAGGGAGCTGACCCACATGGCTCAGCAGACCTCTCCTATCTCGCCCACTGCTCCCCTCAGCAGTGTATTTCAGTGGATCTGCCTGTTCTGCTCCCCACTCTGTCTCTGGTGAATCTTCTCACCACCACCCCCACTCCCTGCACCTCTGGCCTATACCCCAGTTCTTCTACAATACATACATACATACATATATTCATAAAATGAGAACAAACACATGGTCACCTCTGTAAATGAAGAAAAAGCACTAAATAAAGCTCTATACCCATTCAAGATCAAAATTCCTAGCAAATTAGGAAAGTGATTCTTACATGCACATAGGAAACAGAATTAAAAACTTTCCTTTGGAAAAATCTGAATCCTCCAGAGAAATAGCAAAAATAGTCAAACTAACTTTCCTGGGCCTGGACCCACCAGTTGTTAACATTCTGCAACATTTTTGTCCCTTTTTCAGCTTTCTCTTCATGTGTATAGAGTACAGCTCTGTGTGGTATGTAGTTTGTTACCTCTCTTAATTGGCTTTATTTCATATTATCACTTTTTAAGTAGTAAGAGCCAGTTTCGTAGAATATTTCTAATTTAGATTTGTGGCATTGCTTCTTCGTGATTAGATTCACCTTGTGCATTTTTGGCAAGTGGCACATGATGTTGCATCTGTGATTCATTACAGGGACGACGCATGTTGTCATCGGGTTTCATCATTGGTGATAGTGGTGCTATTTGGTCTCTTTGTTAGTATGGTGCTAACATCATTCCTAAAGAAGGAATGTTAGAAACAATTCCTTTAAAAGCAACCTTAAGATGTAAGGCTACAAAAAATTCTTCTGGTAGTCCCTGCTAATGAACTTGGAATAACTGGCTTAAAAGGAACCAACACACATGGGCACATGGGATGCTCATAAATATTCACTGATTGAACAAATTATCAAGTGATTGTTCATCCAAATAAATAAGGAGGGCAAAATTGGCAAAAGGGATGGCACCAACAAAGGTTTGGAAGGGGGACTGTATGTGGAATGTTCCGGAGTAGTGGAGAGGACAGTCTGACCTGACAAACAAATCTTATGTGAAGGGAAAGGAGGGAAATCCCCTGGAGAAGTGGGTTAGGGCCAGACTGCAAGGGCCTTGGATGTCAAGATAAGCCTGTCAGCTGTGTTCCAGAGAAGATGCAAATATATGCTGAAGCTAGGGAGAGGTGAATATAAAATGGAATGTACTGAGGGACTTAAAGATGAGACTTAGAAAGACCCCCGGAGATGACCCACTTGACTACTTGTTCCTCCCAAGATCTGGGTTCTTTGAAAAAGATCCTGTCTACCAAACCAACCACACTCGAATGAAATAATTCATTTTCCTGATTTTTGCTCTTTGAACTTTAGTCCTGTCACCGTTTATTATTGGCATGAAATCAGGAAGTACCTGATACTAAGAAAATAAATGGTTTGATGTGATGTGTGACCTGGGATGGGAGAGGGAACCTAGCTTGGATAGATTAGAAACACTCTCTCTGCGAGATTACATGAAGTTCTAGAGGCAGAGACATTAGACAGAATGAAGAGCCAGTGCAAAGGCCCTGAGGTTGAAGTGGCTTCCGTGTGTGTTGGAGAAACCCTCTGGGGTATTGTCACAAGGTCAGGAGCCACATGAAGTGAGGTC